CCAACCCCCCCCCCTTCCCCCCCCCCCCCAAAAAAAAAAAAAACCACTACCACCACCCTCACACGCACAAAAAATGTGGAACTCATCTTTAATATCCTTTTTATGACAAGCCAGGTACATAGTTTGATTCCCCCACAATTAGGCTGATGGAGCCCCCATTATAAAAACGGGAGGATAAGCACGAGAGAAGGGAGAAAACACCACCCTACCTTGCCCGGACCGCAAGAAAGAGCTGATGTAACTTCTGCCCTGGCAAAACTCCCTCCCCCACCCCCCAAAAAAAAAAAACAAAAAACAAAAAAAAAAGAGGAAAAAAGCAGGATCTTCATATTGTTAATGAAAAAGAGAGCATAATTATAAAGCATTCGGTTAATTCTAACTTGAACCCCAATGATGCTCTTTGCAAATGGGCACTTTTTAAGGTACATATAATGATAAGTCAATTCCAATAATCCCACGTCACAAAAAGAAATTAAATTATAGAATCATAAAACATTTATAGAAAATAAATGATAAAATTATGAATTATACCCATTGCCCATTGGGGGATAAAACAAATGCTTGATGAACTAATGGAAGAAAAAAGAAATTCATATCAACCACACATAAGTAGCATTTAAATATATGGAACACACCATCCTATATTGTAGTTTTTTGTATTGTACTATTTTGAACCTTAGTTTTACAATCTTCAATAGTTTAATATTCAAATTTATTTCTGACGAGTATTTATTACTCCACAATGTCCCAACAAATTTGGATGTGTGTGTGTGTGTGAATCTACGGAATTAAGTTCATGGAAACGAAAAAAAAAGTAAGGGCCTAATACCAAGTAAAGGTATCTAACTGTACTAGACATTGACCTCTTCCAACCTTCAATTACGTTAAGACGTATCAACATTCTAACACATACATACATGTAAATGCAGATTATTGGTGTAGCAGAGTTTGGATAGCCAGGTCTCCAATTTTTAACACACAAAATGCAAACTATGCACATACCTTTCTAGCTTTTATTGCTTTTTTTTCCAGCTCTGCCTTAGCTCGTGACTGTCTTCGCCTTAAAATTCCATGATATTGTTTTGCATTCACATATACAGGTTCCTCCTCCATTTCCAGAGGCAAAGGCATTCTAGTCTGATGGATTCCGAGTAAGTGAGGGTGTACCTAGCATCAGAATTATCGAGTGAGGGAGTATATGGCATGAGATCCTCAAGTGATTGAAAATTGGTCCTACAAAACTCATCTATCCATAAGTTTTTCTCCAATATGAATTCAACAGTTCCAAGTGGGGAATAATAATGGGGTGAATCCCAGATAATGCAGATAAGTCATGCACCCGCGCACATATCAAATGCTGCAGCAGCAATGAAAACTTGTAGAAAAAATGTAGTAGTACTTCTCCTGTCGCTTATAACAAATAACTAGTAGAAAGTCCCAAGAGGAAGGCATTCTCACACCCAAAGCCAAGGAGACAACCAAAAAGCAAGCGACATTTGACATTTTTAATGATAAATAAATGTAAATTCCAAATGATGCACAAGATAGAAGATCTCATTCCATCTTCGGAAATAATAATACTTTAGTAAGGACCAGCGTAGGGAGTGGTCAGGAATCTGCATGTATGGCATGCCAGACTCGGATCTTACAGCACTACAACCACCTTTGCTATTCCAACCAAAGAAAGAAAGAAATAATCAAATAATCCCAGCCTAATTATAGATCACATAAAGAAGGCAGGACCCATAATTCAAACATACAAGTATCCCATTGAGGATGGGTAGGACTGCCATACCGAGCTGGTACAGAAAAATATGTATGCATGCACATATGCACACATACATAATACACACGTGCGAGAGAGAGAGAGAGAGAGAGAGAGCATTCTTACAGGCGCCCCATAAGTCATAATTCCTCCATATCGTGGATCTGGACATGGATATGACCCCAACATCTGCCGAAAAAAGGTAAGTAGAAAGTAAACAAACAAAATCTTAACTACATACCCAAAATTAGCAAGTTTAAAGTCCTTCATTCATAAACAATGGACTATTGTCCTCACTCCTCACAAGATATTCCTAGTGTCACAACTTACAATCGAGTGACCAACAAGTTCCATTTGGGAATTTGTTTCGAGGTGCTTGCCCATGAGTGGAGCTGTTGAAGATGCAACACTTTTGGGATGCTGCTGTTCTTGGGAATTATTTCCATTCAATCCTGAAAGGATGATCTTCATCAGTATCACTACTAAACTCCATACCTGCAAGTACAAACTTTGAGACACGAAGAAAATATAACACTGGAGATCTCAAATATGACTAAACAAACAAAGAAAATCCATGAACCGATGTCACCTGATCACGAAAATAATCAAGAAAATGTTCAACCTTCAATTCAAGACCTGGCCTGAATTTCTAAAGCATATAATGTACACTTATAACATTGTAATTGTACACCAGATCCTCAAAACCCTGGAAAGTAGAACCACAGTTGAACTGTAAATCTATGCACCAGTTGTTCACAGTGGACATAGCAAATCATTGCAGTTAGCAGCATATAATTCTCTAAGGTCTTACAGAGTCCCTCACGTTTTATTTTAATTTTTATTTCCGACTTTTCAAACTAAACAGGTAATCTTTATTAGTATGGAAAAAGATTGCACTGTGGCAAGGGAAGGAGAGTTCACTGGATCACAACTTATAGAAAACTGAGAAACAGTAGTCATCCAGATTTTGTTCTCCATAAGAAAAACAGATTTTTCAGAGAAAGGTGAGAAGAACAAAGTGACAACAGGGAAAGGGAACGAAGAAAAACAGAAATTAGGAAGGAAAAATAAAAAGAGCATAGTTGTGTGAATTTTTCTGTGGCACAACTTAGTGAAAACTAAAAAACAGTATACTCATCCACGCTTAGCTCTCAAAAAGAAAAATAGATTTTTATGAGGCAGGTAAGAAGTCCTAAGTGATTACAAATAGTGAGGATGAAGAAAAATTAAAAACAGCAAGGAAAAATTGAAATAGCAGAGCTGCCCGAATGTTTGTGGCACTTTGATGTAGAACAAGAAGGGGAAGAAATCAAGAAAATAGAAGAAAAAATATAAAAGAAGAAAGATGAAGACATTACCTCAACCCTTCAAATATTGGGTTGGGAAACACAAAGATGGTCAATCAAATTCTCAATGGATTTCACATTCTAGCAAACCTAAGTTATATCAATATTTGTAATTTACTCATCTACCAAAACCTACACTGAAACACCCCTTCAGACAAAATTAATAGTATTCTGTTAAGGCTTACAACGTGGATCATTTTGGTAGACCAATACAATGGCTACAGCATCAATTCCCATCCACTGAAAAATAACTTAACATTGGCAAGTGCGGAGAAAGGCCAAGAATATCATCTAATGGAGAAGCTCTTTGAATTTGAATCAATAATGAAGCCTAGTCAATGTCACTATTTGCGTGTCTATGGCACAAATAACTGTGTACTTTTGTCCATCAATGAAAGAACAAGGGTTGGTGCGTTTGGCATGCTGCATCACGATCCCATGCCCATGTTTTCCCTAAAAAAAATATGACAAATGTGCATAGGAAAACATCACACTTGACTGTCCCTTTAAGATTCCCAAATGGAAAATGTAATTGGGCACCGATTTCCTGAAAAAAAAAAGAATGTAATTGGGCACCTCTTATTAACTTGCAGTTTGGTGTTAGTAATCCATGCAACATAAAATGGTGTTTAATGTCACTTGACTTCTAGAGTCAATCTCTTCCCAACTTCTCACAATACCCAAATCAAACCAAGCCTTATGTCCCAATCATTTGGGGTCGGCTATGAATCCGTCTTCGCCATTCATTTTGGTCATGCGTTATACACTCATTTAAGTTAAATATTCTCATATTTTTTTTATTATTTCGTTTAATGTTAATTTATGTCTATCCCTACTCCTAGTACCATTAAGATAAATTCTATAACTTTTTCTAACCGGTGTCTCTATCGGCCTCCGTTGAACATGATTAAACCATTTTAATATTTTTTCTATCAACTTGTCCTCAATTGGAGTTACACCTACCATTTCTTTAATACAGTCATTTCGTATTCTATCCTTTCTAATATTTTCACACATCCATTTTAACATTTTCATTTCCGCTACACTCATTTTGTCACTATATTGTTTCTTAGTTACCCAATATTATGTCTCATATAATATTGTTGTCTTTATATCTATTTGGTAAAACTTGCCTTTCAATTTTATGGATATCCTTCTATCACATAATATGCCAGAGGTTTTCCTCCACTTAAGTCAACTGACGTTGATTTTATGAAAGTATATCGTCTTCAATCTCTCCATTATTTTTAATGATCAATCCTAAATATCTAAATTGTTTACTAGTTGGTATTTTTTCATTTTCAATCAACTTTTTTACTATGTCTACTTCTTCTACTACTAAAATTACATTATATGTATTCAATCGTACTCCTACTTATTTTAAACCCTTTTAAGACAAGTGTCTTTCTCCAAATTTTTAGCTTATTGGTAATCCCCCTTCAAGTTTCATCTACTAAGACAATATCATCTGCAAATAATATACACCATGGAACATCATCTTGAATATGCTAGTGAGTTCATCTATAGTTATAGCGAACAAGTATAGACTTAGGGCAGATCCTTGGTATAATCTAACTGTAATTGAAAATTCTTTACTTTTTTTCACGGAAGACTTAATTGTAGTCATAACCCCGTCATACATATCTTTTATCATCTAAATACACCTATTCGTCACTCTTTTTTTTTTCAAGCACCCTCCGTATTATATTTCTAGACACTTTATAATACACTTTTTCAAGATCTATTAATACCATATGAAAATTTTTCTTCTTCTCTTTATATTTTTCTATACTTGTCTTTAACCAATATAAAACCTCCAAAGTTGATCTACTAGGCATAAACCCAAATTGATTTTCCAAAACTGTAGTCTTAACTCTTAGACAATATTCAATGACCCTTTCCCATAACTTCATTGTATGACTCATAAATTTTAGCCCTCTACATTTTTCTAGTAGCCATAATTCTATTAAATAATTTTGTTAGCCACAACACCCTCATCATTCCCTAAGCACTTCCAAACCTCACTTGGAATCTCATCTGATCCTAAAACTTTGCTGAATTTCATTTTCTTCAATGCAATCTCTACCTCCAAATTCTTTACAAAAGAATGTTTGTACTCTAGTGTCATGAATTCTACCATTTGCTATCTCTTCTAAGTTTCTTAAGTGATTTTTGTTTAATAATTTCTCAAAATAGTCTTTCCACCAATCATGTACTTTATCACCCCCTTAACTAAAACTTTTGAATCCTCGCCCTTTATGCACTTAACTTAGTTAAAGTCTCTTATTTTTCTTTCTCTAGTTTTAGCTAGTTTGTAGATGTATTTTTCTCCTTCTTTACTATCTATCTTTTTGTACAACTTGTCGTAGGCATTTAACTTACGTCTCTAACTATCTTTTTAGCCTCTTTATTAGCTAATTTATATCTTTGAAAATTCTCATTATTTCTATCATTTTGTCATCACTTAAAGGATTCTTTTTTTACTTTAATTACATCTTGTACGTCATCATTCCACCACCAAGTTTCTTTTCCCAGAAGCCCTCTACCCTTTGACTCACTAAGAACCTCTTTCCAAATTTTCCTAATGCATTCTGTCATCCTACTCCACATAGCGTTAATCTCATCCTCTAGGTTCCATATGACCTTCTTAAGCATTCTACTCCTAAATGGTACTTTTTTCTCATTTTTTATATTCCACCATCTCATTCTTGTTTTTCTAATACTTCTCCTTACTCTATGTTGCCCTATAATATATAAATCTAGGATTGTTAGCCTATGTTGAGATGTTAACCTCTCCCCCAGGATAACCTTACAATCTTTACATGTCAAGCGGTCCATTCTTCTACTTAAGAAATAGTATACTTTACTTTTATTTGGTCCGCTTTTAAAGGTTATTAGATGTTCTTCTCGTTTTCTAAACAAGGTGTTTGCCACTACTCCCAATACCCACATTAGTTTAACCTCTAGTATCAATCACTATTGAGCATAGTTTTCCTTTACAACCAAACCTTGTTTGAACAATATTTCCACCAGGAATAAACTTATATTCCGTGTATCAATGTTTCTTTACATGTAATTTACTTCCATATCAAGGTACCCGATAAGTTAATGCCCCATAATTATTTGCATTATATACAAAAATCAAAGAATTAATACCAGGTTGTGGGGCTATGATATGTGTCCCTTCAATGACACCATCACCATTGGCTTGTGATTGGGTAACTCCAGGGGTGGCAGAACCATTAGTGTTGTCCACTGCAGAAGTCATCGCACTATTTCCAAATCCACGCCACCAAGGTTGTGTATGAACTGTGGATGGTGGAATGCTTTGTTCTCCTGTTCCTAGCTTCCGTTCTTCATTTTTGGCTATTGTTGGCATTATTCTTGACTTCCTCAGGAAGAACTAAGGGCCAAGTACCTAAATCTACTACACCAGCCACCACATAAGAAAAGTTAACAGGAAATAAATTTTGCAGGCCAACAAACATAACTGTACCAATTACCAATGAATGACAATATCAAATAATCAAACAAGTACCTATAACTTTTGAATATAATGCAAAAGGCATTATGAACCCATCCAATAAAATACTTATTACTACCCAAAATACTGTTCTCCGCTCTTATCTCCTGAAATTCCACATTGTGGTACACCACATTAAAGTATTGACCAATAGGAAGAAATTTGAGCACGATTAGAGCCCCCTAGATTAATCTACAAGATCGAGATATCAAATCTGAAAAAAAAAAATTGAGTCCTACAGAATCAACTTCGTAATAAGGGTAGACAACGGTAAAGCCTCAGTCGAATCCACTCACCCCATCCTACCTCCCCCAGCCACATGCATTGGCCGGAGAGATCTTGGAAATGGCATCTTCCATACATCTAAATCCAAGTAACAAATAAGGACCAACTTCTCAACTGTAGAGAAGTTAAGTGTTTTTCAACCAAAAATAAAAACATTTTCCTCAGAAATCTTTGGGAAAATTTCTAATAAGTCCTACTTTTTCAACTGAAAAAAAAAACTATTTAGTCATGTATCGAATTTCCATCAACAAAAGTATCTCCTACTTGTATTAATTCTTTCCAAATTAGCTCAAAACTCCATTCACATGGTAATGTATGCCGGTTTTGCCCCTTCTTTTGGATGTTAGTTACGCTTTTACTCAAAATATTCCTACCAATGTGGATATTATTTTGAAATAAAAAGAATAAATAGGATGACTGCTGCCAAATTTTCTGATTTTATATTATATTTGACAATTCATCTAAATTCACCATTTTTAGTTAATTTTATGTAGCAATTTTTTGAAATCAATTTCCTTACAAGAGTCATAATGAGGAAAATATGCTGCTATTCCAATCATTTAGCTGATTGTCTACTAAATTATCATTGGACAACATATTACAAGCAATTTTTTAAAATTAATCTTGTTACAACAGTCATAATGAAGAGATATACTGCAATTCAAATCATTCAGCCAATTGTCTATTGAAATATTTTTGGACATCATAACATAATAGTGCATTACATGGCAGTATTTATTTACTTCTTTTGTAATTCATATATCTTAATCAACATAAAATCAATCTGAACTCCATATACATTTGTAATAATCATTAAAGAGCAAACGGAAAAAATAAGATCCTTATACAATGGGAGCCTTGGGTTGTACATTAATAAACACAAGATTTTACCATGATAACAAGGCGACACCAATCAAGAAAGGCAGGCGTAACTGAAAAAGTAAATTTTCTCAAAGCTTAACCGTACACAATCCATCAAGAATATAGTGTCCCAAAAAAAAAAAAAAAAGCAATATAATGCAAACTAATAAGCCTAAACAAACAATTCTCGTAACATCAAGAAACAATCTTGTAAATAAGCACACAACATAATGAAAGCCATATATTAAAGCAACACCCACTTTGCATATACCAAAAAACCCAGAAGATCACACGCATCTCACTCATCTACAACTACAAATACTGTTCAACTCCACAGAATTTAATCGAAACAATTACTGACACCTGAGCAACCACGAAGCCCACTATTTTCTGATTTCGAAATACAAGTGGCAACAAAAACTTAATACAAAAAGTAAAGGGTTTTTCCAATACCACACATACGACAGGAAAAATTCAATTTTCGCTCCTCATTCGTTCCCTAATATTTTTTTCTCAGCAACCAAACAGTAATTTTCCCCCCCCCCAAAAATAAAACAGAATATAACGGCGCGAAAAATCAAATCCAATTACGAAACCCTAATTGGGTATTCTAAAAAGAGTTCGAATGGGTAGATAAATTTACCTTGTATATTGTGGGGACGAGGACGGTGGATTGCAAAACCCTGAAAAGCTCTATTGACTTATTATTGCGAATGCACAGCCATACATAGATTTGTCACTGCAGAGGCAGTGGTTGATGACAACACAGGTATAGAATATATATATATATATATATATATATATATATATATATATTGTGGATAGAAGAGTTTCAAGAGAGAGAAAATGTGTGTTTTTTTATAATTATTATTTTTTGTTCACGCCAATGTCGCTCTCTGTGTCTCGTCGTCGTCTATCTATGTCGCTCTCTGTGTCTCTGTTAAGGAGAAAAACTGATTAATTGTTAATTGAGTGGTAGATTAGCAAATGGGAAAGTGTGAATTGTCAAAAATAACCTTGGCGTTTACCTGTAGGGACCACATTGACGAGTAAACATTGGGTGTAATCACCCAATTAAAAAAATATAAAAAAAAGATAAAATAGGGTCCCACTTTTCATTGCGGAGGTGGTAATACATTACATGATCAATTAATTATGAATTTTTATGAAACTTCTTTATTGACTTATATATTTATTAGTCATAACTCGTGTATGATGACACAATAAAATATAAAATTTGAGATCTTAAAAAATCAACCACACTATATTAAATAATAATTTTTTCCTTTATTTTTTTATTACATCATTTAAAATTTATTTACCTATTATTTTCTTAAAAATATCGATAATTTTTTTTTAAAATACGTAATTCGATCAAATTTTCTTAACATATATATACTATTTGTGTATTGATAATATCTGAAATAAAAATTATGTAAAATTATAAATTAATCAAATATTAAATGACATTTGAGTTTGAATTTTAATTTTTTCAAATTTTACAACCAATGACATAATTTATTGATTGTTAAAGATCAAAATTAAAATCCCGATCCTTACCCATTTTACAAAAGTTGTTTAGTTCTACACAACTTCGACACAAGATTTAGCAATTATAATGGCACCAAAAAAATGCCTATTTTTTTCTTTATTGACAACTAGAAAATATTCAATGATTGCCACCTAATGGAATCAACTTAGATAAATAAGCAAATAACAATAATTGTTTGCTAGTTGGACCACATCCAATTAGCCATTTAAAGAAATAAGGATTCTAGTCACTTTCATACCTAAAAGCTTTTAATTTTCATTGTATCTTATTCATCACTTTACTCATGTGATGTAACTTTCTAGAATCTAGGACAAATAATTGTAATTTTTGACCAATGTACAATAATTTTGAAATTTATTCTTTATATAACCTGAGTTTTATCTTATTTTATACGCAATAATAATATTCATGAAAGCTTAGGTTGAACCTGATATTATTGAATACTTTCGAAATCTTCTTTTAATAAAAAATCTTGAAACATTAAAAAAAAATTAGATTTAACTCACGATTTTATGATAATTTTTGAAATAAGTTAAAAATAATAGTATTATCATAAAAAAAAAATTTAAAAATAACTACTAATTGATCATTGATTCCCCCGATTGGGTGAGTGAAGGTGTGGTGAGATACATTTTCCCTTAAACTTACTATTATGATTTTAAGGGTAGCTCAAATGGTAACTAGAACAAATTATAAATTTAAACGACTTGAGTTCGAATTTTGACAACTTTTTAATCTCAAGCTTAAAAAAATTTATCTTTCATGAATACCCTAATCCTGATGTGGATAATTTGACTTTGACCTAACTGAAAAAAAAATTACTCGAGATATATGTAAATTAGTTTGAACACTGTGTACGTCAAACAAAAAAAAAGGTCACCATTACCAGAGTGAATTAGAATTTTTTGGGGGTTGTGTGAAGAAGATAGAGAGAGAGGGGGGGTTTACTGTGTAATAAAAACACAAGTCCAAGGGCAAATTGGTCATAACAGTTCTTAACCACTCATAATGGTTAATTAATTGGTTCATTAATTAATTAAAACCCATAATAAAGCTTTGCCAGCTATGACACTTGCTTTGAAACGTGTCNAAAAAAAAAAAAAAAAGCAATATAATGCAAACTAATAAGCCTAAACAAACAATTCTCGTAACATCAAGAAACAATCTTGTAAATAAGCACACAACATAATGAAAGCCATATATTAAAGCAACACCCACTTTGCATATACCAAAAAACCCAGAAGATCACACGCATCTCACTCATCTACAACTACAAATACTGTTCAACTCCACAGAATTTAATCGAAACAATTACTGACACCTGAGCAACCACGAAGCCCACTATTTTCTGATTTCGAAATACAAGTGGCAACAAAAACTTAATACAAAAAGTAAAGGGTTTTTCCAATACCACACATACGACAGGAAAAATTCAATTTTCGCTCCTCATTCGTTCCCTAATATTTTTTTCTCAGCAACCAAACAGTAATTTTCCCCCCCCCCAAAAATAAAACAGAATATAACGGCGCGAAAAATCAAATCCAATTACGAAACCCTAATTGGGTATTCTAAAAAGAGTTCGAATGGGTAGATAAATTTACCTTGTATATTGTGGGGACGAGGACGGTGGATTGCAAAACCCTGAAAAGCTCTATTGACTTATTATTGCGAATGCACAGCCATACATAGATTTGTCACTGCAGAGGCAGTGGTTGATGACAACACAGGTATAGAATATATATATATATATATATATATATATATATATATATATATATTGTGGATAGAAGAGTTTCAAGAGAGAGAAAATGTGTGTTTTTTTATAATTATTATTTTTTGTTCACGCCAATGTCGCTCTCTGTGTCTCGTCGTCGTCTATCTATGTCGCTCTCTGTGTCTCTGTTAAGGAGAAAAACTGATTAATTGTTAATTGAGTGGTAGATTAGCAAATGGGAAAGTGTGAATTGTCAAAAATAACCTTGGCGTTTACCTGTAGGGACCACATTGACGAGTAAACATTGGGTGTAATCACCCAATTAAAAAAATATAAAAAAAAGATAAAATAGGGTCCCACTTTTCATTGCGGAGGTGGTAATACATTACATGATCAATTAATTATGAATTTTTATGAAACTTCTTTATTGACTTATATATTTAT